AGCAGCAGTCTTCCAGCAGATAGGCAGCACATAGAACACAATGCTGCAATGACAATATTTCTTGAAGACAGAAAAAACAGAGTTATAAGTGGATACATATCAGCAAGCTTGCTCATACTGGATGTGAAGAAGCAGGCAATTAAGGATATTATAAAGTTTTGGGCAACTCCAAGAAGGTGAAATATAACACTAAGGGCTAGAATCCTGTTCAGAATATTCTTATTTTGGGTAGGTCTTGTATTCAGGAACTGTATCAGGAATTCACAAGCAAGGGTTGTTATTATAAATCCAATAGTATTGATGCAGAATGTGTAGTAGCTTGGCAGGGCAGGAACAAAAACCATCAAGCAGATATATACAGTAACACACAAACATTTCATCAATGTTTTATGTTGCATGGTAATGGTGAATACTTAGTAGGATTCTCTTTTTAAGGTAATGTTGGTCACAACAAAAGCATAATTTCTTTTTTGAACTTTAATATTTAACAAATGCAACTTTTATTTTCTCGAGAAAAAAAATTCAAGGCTTTTGTCTCTTTCAGATTGCTACGAGAGCTAGTTAACAACATAGTGCTTTCTGAAGTTATTCTGGCTTTTATACAGATGGAATTAAGAAGTCTAAAATATAAGAGTAATATTCTCTGTGTACAAGATTAAAGACAATTTTGTTAAGGTTGCCCAGCAATACCTTGGCTACCAATGAGAACTCAGCTTCTAAGCTGCACACATTTCAAATATTTTCTCAACAGCCTAATATCGACTTACTTGGAAACTTAAATTTGAAAACAAATTTGATCTTAACAGCAAATAACATCTTTTCATAAAATATCAACCTAAATTTTAATGATTATTATAAAATCACAGTAAACGTTAGTTCTTTTCAAGTTCCGACTTTTTACCAGCTGAAGCAATCTGTACAGTACAATTACTGACTATGTAAGGCAAACCGGGACAGTACGCCAATATGGTTTATTTCAAGAACCGGGCTAGAACAATCTGTACAGTACAATTACTGACTATGTAAGGCAAACCGGGACAGTACGCCAATATGGTTTATTTCAAGAACCGGGCTAGAACAATCTGTACAGTACAATTACTGACTATGTAAGGCAAACCGGGACAGTACGCCAATAAAATGAATGATCCCATTCTAGTGAAATTTATGTGAAATAAGACATGAAATAATGTGAAATAATGACATGTTTACTATGATTTTGGTCAAACACCTTAGACTGAGAAAACTTTTCCGACTTGAATGTGTAATATTTTGCTGGGAGCCATTGCATTCGTAATATCACTATCACAATGAGAAGCTATGTTTACAAGAAAGAATTCAGGGTCGCAACCTAAGTCTATCAATTTATAATATTCTCTTATATTATATATTTCAGCAAGAAACTAGCAAAGCTAGGTTTGTCGATTTTCTTGTCTTCATGTGTTATTTAAATTAAGGCATGGAAATTTTTTCCTAAATATTCATAGCCCTCCCTTTAGGTCTAGACCCGGGCTTTTATACTAACTGCCTGAGTCTTCAGGCACACTGCCTGAATGACAACTTTTTCAGAAACAAACTAAATCTATCTTTTGACCCACTTATAGTTGTCAGATTTTGATAATTTTTAGCTTTTTGGAAAGCCTCTGACATTAGAAATGGATTGCTTTAGTTTCGCAAAGAAATTTTTGCAAATTATTTGCACACAACCCGTCAAAAGAAGTTTGCACATTTTTAGTTTTCCTTAATTACACATCAAGTTGTTAAAAATTTTGCAAAATTTTTCCTTATATGAAATGACATGGTGAAGGGGGCTTGTCAAAAATGTATATTTTATCCTTTTTTGGACATTTTATTTTCAAACATTTTTACTATATAACTGGATTTTGCTAAAAAAAATCCATTATTGGAAATTTGCAAATTTTTTTTTGCAGATTCTAAAAAAGTAAAGCATAAGAGCTTTCAAAGGATCATTTGTCATATATGGACATCAAACATGTGATTTGGAGGGGGGGTCAAATTGACCCCAGCAGGGATAGGGTTGAAGAAAATTTGATGACTAAACCGCTTTTATATTTTACCTTCAGCTATGAGATTAGACGTTAAAAGTAAAATTTATGTTTTTATGATGTTTCAATATTTTTTCTGTCTGATTTTATTTATCAACTCTCTTTATTTATAACTTGATGAGAGTCATTTTGATTGATGGCATTTAATTATAGAGAAATCAAGCGTGTGGTCAACGATTTCATTAAATACCAAGTGCATTAAGGAAAATTTGGTTTCAATAAGTTGTCCTACAATGATGATGTTGAACACATCAAAATATATTTCCTACTTTGAAGCTGTGCATTTTACAGATAAAGAACAGTTTTAACCAATTCGAAGTTTTACAGTTTAATCTTCTTAAGAAGCTATTGACAATTGACAATTAAATTTTGTTATGCAAGGGCCTTATGTCAAGTTAGAAATAAAATATTAATAATATGCTGAATAAAGGGGTTCCAATTTACAAATTGAAGTCTGAAATAAAAAAGAAAAGTTTTTAAAAGAACTGTTCTCACGTGAGTCTCCATTTAAAATAGTGACATGACCTATTCATAAAGGTAACCATGAAAGATTTCAGATTTTCAGCATTATACTCTTGGAAAATGTCAAGGTAGGTGAGTCCATATACATTATACAATGAACTACCTTTCGGCCGCTGCAAATAGATTGTTAAGTACAATAGATGGCAACGTAGTATTTGTGCACTTTCAGTACAGCTGTATTCTTACATCACAAGTGTAAACTCGGTTTTTGTGTCCAACATAATTATTAATAATAGTGATAATTTTAGAATAAAGAGCTTATCTTACAGTGAAAAAGTTGCAATTTAATGTCTTATTTATTTTTTGTTTTCACACTTTTTATTTAATCTTGAAAAACATGTCAAATAATGTGAGAAAATTTCGTTTTCCTTGTTATATTTGACGCTTGTGACGTCGTGTATAATTGATCCATTTTTCTGTTGCCACCTATTGTACTTGATAATCTATTTGGGTGGCTGTAAAATTGTATATTCATTGTTTGTAAACAAACGCAATCGAAACTGGACTTGAACCGAAACATGAAATTGAACCAAGTATTCAAACCTTAGACGCAGTCCAGAGTTATATAGTTACACATATAAAGATATAATGGAGCAAGGTAAAAAAATCAAGCCTGGGCTATTCCCCCCCCCCCTCTCTCCCTCTCATGTCGAAACTATAAATTACTGTTTCGACATAAGCCTAATTAAATTGAATGTAACAGACCGCTAAACTAGTTTTTTGCCACTGAAAAAATCCGAGTTCATAGTGTATTCCAGAATACATGTTTGTACAGTAAATAATTTCACTTAATAACCCAGTGACTTAGATTTTCAATATATTCCACTTGATGTGTAAAATAAAAAGATTAATTTAAATAACAACAACAATCATTTAGGATTTTTCTACTTTTTAAGTTACCCTCCCTTAGTTTAAAAAGGGGGCATTCACGATTCACAACAATACTCTTTAAACCATTGTTTGAGCAAAAGTGACGAAAATGCAACAGAGAGAAAATTGTTAGAATTAAAAACTTTCTTTAAAAAAAACGACGATATCATCCCCATTGCTGCTTAAATATAGATTTAAAGAATGCTGTTGTTCATCAACTTTTTAACTGGAGGGTCACTTTAAACAACGACGACAATCCCTCTAACCTATAGAATTTTTTGGCATCCTCTATGCTATCTGAGTACAGTCCTCTGTATGTGTTTGCAAATCTGTTATTGTTTGATAAAAACTTATCTTATCTAGAGGGTTAAACACAAAGGACGAGATTGTAAAGACGATCTGAAATTTTTACAAATGACGATTAGAGTATATTGCTTAAATACAGTTTATTTTTATTAAGGTTTTATTGCTGTGACAAAGAAAGAAACAAGTTTATATAGTTGCAGTGAATCATGAATATAAGGAAAAGGAAAGATACAGTATTAAATCCGTATAGTCGTCTCTGAAGTCTTATTCTTTGTGGGTAACCCTGTCCATAAAAAATGGCAAAACATTTGGTTGAATTATGATTCTGAAAAGTAATTAAGAATCATGAAACAAAATAAAGCTAAAAGGTGAAATATTTTAGTAAAATTTTAAATCTTTAAAATTTGTTGAATAAACTTAGCAGCATATGATGGATCATTGGATATCTACTATCTAGACTCAAGGAGAAAGGCAAAACATCAAACTTAACCTTCAGACCGTTACATTAGGTCGTAATAAAAATGTCACCCTTTGAGACTGAGAGTGACCAGCTGAATAATATTGAATTGTTGTGACAACTATTTCAAAAAAGCCACACTAAAAGCTAATTTTGGAAAAATTTACATCTTATCAATCAAAATAAGTTTTTAATCCTAAAAAGTTATTAAGAATGTTAAATTAACATATGAAACTTCAGATCGTAATATTCTAAGAGTTATAGGTCGTCATCAAAGACTCATCTTTTGAGGTTACCCTGAATAATATGAAACGCGTGCAGACATCCATTTAAAAAAAGTCTCATCTTTTCAGAGTGACCTAAAATAATATTGGATTGCTGTGACAATCATTTCCAAAAAGCAACTATAAAAGCTAAGTTTTTAATCCTAAAAAGTTGTTGCGCATGTTTAATAAGATGAGCAGCATATTCTGGGTATCTAGGCTTTAGGAGAAGGGATGCTGCGGCTAGAGCAGCTGCACTTTCACCAGCACAATCAGAACCAGGCTAAACAAACAGGAACTAGTTCGATTCATAACGGTATTTTTATATATTTGCCTGAGCCACATCTTTAATAATAATAGTTTCAGTATTTAAATTTGGAAAATCTAGTAAGCTTTTAATTTATTTTTTGCTTACTTTTTCAGGAGTAAGCTTGAATGCAGGTCTTGTTATATTCATGTCTTCAGGTCTACCAGGATAATCATGATCAATCTCTCCACTCCCAACCTTTCAATATATCCTAGGTAATCATGATCAATCTCTCCACTCCCAACATTTACATGTATCCTGATAATCATGATCAATCTTCCCACTCCCAACCTTTAAATATATCCTGGATAATCTTGATCAATCTCTCCACTCCCAACCTTTAAATGTATCCTAGGTAATCATGATCAATCTCTCCACTCCCAACCTTTAAATATATCCTAGGTAATCATGATCAATCTCTCCACTCCCAACCTTTAAATATATCCTAGGTAATCATGATATGATCAATCTCCCCACTCCCAACCTTTAAATATATCCAGGATAATCATGATCAATCTCCCCACTCCCAACCTTTAAATATATCCTAGGTAATCATGATCAATCTCTCCACTCCCAACCTTTAAATATATCCAGGATAATCATGATCAATCTCCCCACTCCCAACCTTTACATATACCCTGGATAATCATGATCAATCTCTCCACTCCCAACCTTTAAATATATCCTAGGTAATCATGATCAATCTCTCCACTCCCAACCTTTACATATACCCTGGATAATCATGATCAATCTCTCCACTCCCAACCTTTAAATATAACCTTGGTAATCATGATCAATCTCCCCACTCCCAACCTTTAAATATATCCTAGGTAATCATGATCAATCTCCCCACTCCCAACCTTTAAATATATCCTAGGTAATCATGATCAATCTCTCCACTCCCAACCTTTAAATATATCCTGGATAATCATGATCAATCTCTCCACTCCCAACCTTTAAATATAACCTTGGTAATCATGATCAATCTCCCCACTCCCAACCTTTAGATATATACTGGATAATCATGATCAATCTCCCCACTCCCAACCTTTAAAAGTGTTTAATTCTAATAATTCCAATATGTTTCCAAATGAATAACAATGAAGTGTTCTTGAACCATGTTTCGTAAATCTGACCTGGCAATAAAACACGTTGTCCTCCACATGTGCTTTAATTATATAATCAGTGCCCCATTTTACAGCATCTTCAAGGTATCCAAGCTGACCCGCTTCCTGATATCCAGACATGAAGGTCAAACCTCCCCAACTCAGAACAGTTAATGCTGAGGCCAGGGGGAATCCAAACTTTACATAATCTCCAGCTAAATAGTTAAGTAGAACCCAAACTTTACATAATCTCCAGCTAAATAATTAAGTAGACTAAAGCTTTACATAATCTCCAGCAAAATAATTAAGTAGACTCAAGCTTTACATAATCTCCAGCTAAATAATTAAGTAGACTCAAGCTTTACATAATCTCCAGCAAAATAATCAAGTAGAACTCAAACTTTACATAATCTCCAGCTAAATAATTAAGTAGAACCCAAACTTTACATAATCTCCAGCTAAATAATTAAGTTAATTAAAAAGACTTTTCAGACTATTTTGAATATGTTAAAGTATATTTTTAAGACTTCAGATTAACAATAAGGAAGATAAGTAAAAAAGGTATAATTTCAGAAAGAATAAAACAAGAATATCCTATTCAGTTTATCTAAGACAAAGATTTAAAGGGTACCTATGAACATTAAAGTATCAGGAGGGGGGGTCAGCAATATTGAGTTTACATTATAAACCCTTGATTCAAGTCAAATAATACTTGGCCGCTAAAGCAATTTTTTTGAGAGAAGTGTCTAAGTAACCGTGTAATATGAGTCGGATATTTGACTTTAAAGATAGTGGGTCACTTAAGATTACATCGGAAATATTATGTTATGAGACCTTACCATCGTGATAACCTCCAACAAGATCCTCACCGTCGTCCCCTTTATCCTGAACAAATAGGTCATGGACATCATTTTCCAAATTACATAGGTCCTGGACATCATGTTCATCATTTTCAAATTTATATACAGTGAAACCCTTAATAAGGAATACATCGAAAGAATTCATCAAATGTCGTATTCTTCACTTTCTGATAATGGAATGTTGCAGATATTTAGTTTTTAAATTAAATGATTATATGGAACTCTTTAAAACTGTTTCCACATATTCATGGCTATTTATTTATTTTCGCAAATACTGAAATTTACGTAATATAGTATAAAACGACATTTGATAAATTCTTCCGATGTATTCGTTATTAAGGGTTTCACTGTAGGTCGTGGACATCATTTTTCAAATTATATAGGTCATGGACATCATATTCCCAATTACTTAGGTCATGGACATCATTTTCGAAATTATATAGGTCATGGACATCATTTTCCAAATTACGTAGGTCATGGACATCATTTTCAAAATAATATAGGTGATGGACATCATTTTTCAAATTATATAAGTCATGGACATCATTTTCCAAATTATATAGGTCATGGACATCATTTTCCAAATTATATAGGTCATGGACATCATTTTCCAAATTATTTAGGTCATGGACATCATTTTTAGAATTATAAAGGTCATGGAAATCATTTTCAAAACTGATAAAACTTCATTTGGTTTATGTTTTAAATAAAGCTTATTAACGGACCTTAGATATTTCAAATAAGTTTGGCAGATCTAAGGTTTACACCATCAGTTTGAAAAGTTATAGGGATTAAAATAATTATGCTTGTGGGAAAGACTCAGTTCCTTTATTCGATAAAACTTAATCTTGTTTTTGGCAAATATCAGCAAATTAAATCTATTTTGGTTCAATGTTTAGTGTTTTTGGGGAGAGAAAAAGAAAAGAATACCTTGATAGAAGTTATGGATCGATAAAGTTATCAATGATGAAAATGATTACATTGTCTTCAAAGGAATTGAGTCTTTGCCTCAAACTTTCTCAAAATTCCTATATCTTTTCATCCCAACGTCGTAGACCTTAGATATTTAACGCAATGAATTCTCTTATATTTACAAATTAGAGTTTGAATATTAAAGAACTACACCCTCCAGGTTGCAAAGTTATAGGGATTAGAAAATTTGACTTTATGGCAAAGACTCAATTATTTTTTGCTTGTTTAAAACGAAGTTTTCTTTTACTTATATGTATTGCTTAATTTAGGACATTTGTCCAAGGATAAAAAATTAAAATGTCGTTTTAAAAAAAGTGAAATAATTTCTACTCTACCAACAGAGATGAATCTGCTCTCCATGGAATCCGATTAGCAGGGGTTAGATCACCTGACCTCTGCGCTTCATAGAACAGCAGAGATATCCTTTAGATTGCAATATTAAAGGAATTTATCAGCTACTTAAAAATACGAATACTGCAGGGTTACCCAAAAAGTATGAGACTTTAGAAACGACTACGGAATTTATTCTTACATGATATTAGCTCCTTGCGAAATGCAATATAAAGCTTCTCGCTTTGGCACCAGAACAAAGAAACTGAGTTTTTGTCACAAACTTTACTTTTCTATAAATCCCTATATCTTTGCTACCCAATGCCGTAGATCTTTGATATTTCAAACTATAAATTCTGTTAGACTAAACAATCTAAGCTTGAAATATCAGGTTTACATAATAAGATTATATAGATATAGGGATTAGACAATTTGAGTTTGTGACAAAAACTCAGTTCCTTTTATCCTTATTTCGTCATCTTTCAGGGATTTTACTGAAAATGCTGAGACCAAATCCATTTCATTTTTATTGTATAAAACTGTATTTTTTGTAGTGAGTTGGTTTATTACTCTGGGTCTAAGTATTTATGTTTACGAAAAGGAGCAAAAAACATTATTGTAATTATTTTTAAATAGATATTCGAAAATACAAGCTTATTCTTTTTATTTTATTTTTATTATTATTGTAATCACCCTACTGGAAGAGTTTCATTATCTTATGCCCGATGCTGAACGACACCCTTAAAACCTTTTTGCAAGAAACAAAAATAAAGCTATTGTCGTTTTTCTTTCAGGAGGCGACAGGTTAATTTGTTTAGTTCATTGTAAATCCGCATTTTTTTTAAGAATTTAAAACTTAGAATTTTCAAAAAGAAAAACAAGGATATTTCCTTTGGTTTGGTTCAGAAAAAGGTAACATAGTGTCTCTTGAAATGAACTTGACAGTGTCTTTTAAAATAGTTTTTTTTCTTTTTTGAAATTATCAAATGCTAGTGAAAGTGCCCGGCGTTGTCCGTGAAACTTTCGAAACACTAAAAAATAGTTTTTTACCCCCGGCGTACTCATGGGTTCCCTCAAAAAAAGTCAGCCCCTTCGGTCCAGACGTTTGGCCAGCTATATACATATACATGAGCAAAGAGCTTCATTATATAAATTATGTAATATAATAATTATCAAATAAGATCACTAAATATCTGGAATAAAATTACCTGATAACCTCAGTATAGTTGTATTTTGTTTCTTCACATATCATGGTTTTATCTTCAGTTGAACTACCTTTAGCATCAAATAAAAAACAAACAATATAATGATATGTGAATGCAAAACTGTACAGCAAGTTTTTAATTTTTTGAGACTCCTTTTCGCGAATTTTTAATGATTTAATAGAAAAATTAAATTTTCGCGAAATGTTCGATAGTCTTTTAGAGAACTGCGCGAAATTTGTACCAACATTTCTTTCACAGAAATTATCCAACAAAAACAACTTGTTTGATAGTTCTCTGCATTTCTTAGATGTAGTGATTCTTTAATCGTTTTAAACATTTTTTTTATCTTACAATAGGTTCAACCAAGGACAATTGAGACATTTCAACAGCAAATGAGCTCGAAACCCGAAAATATAGTTTCAAAATATTTTTGTCAAAAGTTTTTTTAAATATTTGATATTTCTTTAGGCTATTTTTGTTCTCACGTGTACCTTGTATTGGCAGAAAGACGAAGAGACCTGAGACAAGGATGCAAGGAAGCAAAAACATTTTTCAAACAAGACTAATTAGTAATCATCTGTTAATTACGTTCACTACAAAACTGAAACTTTAAAAATATTGAAGAACAACAAATGATTTATGGTGTGTGACGGGTAACGGGGAATCAGGGTTCGATTCCGGAAGGGAGCCTTAAACACGGCTACCAGAAACTCGTTCTGGTGTTCTGACAACTTTTAGGTTCTCTTTGATACTGAAAGAAAAACAGCATAATTGGTTTATATTGTCAGCAAAGTGTGTCCTAAGAATTTAGTTATTGAGTATTTTTTTGCTTGTTCAATCATAAAAATTAGTATAACATGCTGTCTTCAATTAATTTAGTTTGCCAAAATTTTTTTAATCAATTAGGATTGAAGCACAACAATTAAGAGACACCCTGTACATTTTATAATGAACTGAAAGCATCTAGGGACACCCTGTACATTTTATAATGAACTGAAAGCATCTAGGGACACCCTGTACATTTTATAATGAACTGAAAGCATCTAGGGACACCCTGTACATTTTATAATGAACTGAAAGCATCTAGGGACACCCTTTATAATTGTTTTGTCTCTTCAGAAACAAGTTGATTTTCTGGAATTAAACCAGAATACTCATGCTCAATCTTATATATAGAATATAGAAGCGAAATATTAGGTATTGTGTATATGTGTGTATTTACTGTGTATGTACAGGATACCCACAGAGGATAAGACTTCAGAGACGACTTTACCCAATTTATACTGTCTGTTTTCTTATATTGATGAGTCCGTGCAACTGTTAACTTATTTCTTCCTTTGTCGCATCAATAAATAAACCAATAAACGACTTTAATCAAGGCAGAAGACTTATTTCAGCATTATTTTAAGATTTTCAGGTCATCTTTACAGTCTCATCCTTTGTGGGTAACCCTGTGTGTGTTGGTGTAAGATGTGTTATGTAAAGAATTTTGTTCAGATTACAATTTATGAAAAAAAAATCCACTATTTTTGTCAACATTTAAGAGAAATTTTCATGATAGTGCAAAGTTGTAAAAACAGAATTGTTAATTCATGGAATAAATCTCGATTTTATATAGGCATACCAGGGATGACTATTAGATTTCTCTTCAAAATGCAATTTTATTTCCCCTAAAAATATTTTAGAAATGAAAAGTAAAAGTTGAGTTGCAACTTACATGCATCAGTTTCTTAAAGGGACTGTTATTGTTGTAATTTTACGTGACATTCAATCTATAAAAAGATTTTAAACCTCTATCTGATTAGTATTGTTGAAGATATTGTTGTTTTCCTAGCTTGTTTACAGTTCACTTCATAGAGAAACCGCAATTAAAAATATTTCTAATGAACAAAATATGATTTCAAATTCTCCTTAAAGTCCTGCTTGTCGAAATTTAGAAAGACACTTTAGTTTTCTCTTAAATACTGGAAATCATGACTTACTTAAAATCTGCATAAAATTTGAATTGCATTAAGAAATATCAGGATTTTCTCCTTTCAAGGTTCAGGACTTAAAATCGTGAACATATTCAATTTAGATAAAATGTATCTATATTAAAAATGGTGTGAAATGTACAAAAAAGCAAACCTACTCTAAGTCTCATTTACATTTTTCTTTGGCATTTTCATCTAAACCTCAACTTTTTAGAGTCTCCATTTAGATGGAATATTTCAGGAATATTTATAAGTGTTGTAAAACCCTAGAAAAGTACATTAATAGTTACACACAAAAATTTTGTATAAAAAAATCATTTAAAAAAATTTAAAAATCTAAATTTTAACCAACTCTTGTAAAATTACCAAACAAAATAAGTTAATTTCAAGCAAAGTTCAAGAACATTTCAACCTTTACATATTGACTTTAGAAGAATTTTGCGTCTCTGAATGAGAAAGAGAAAATGGTGACGTCATCATGTCTATAAAAGATCAATCTATCCTATATTTACAGTCATTTAAATCTCTCCATCCAGACAATGAAGATATATATACTTCTCTTCTGTATTCAGCTTTCCAGGAACTGGATTTAATGAATTTGAGCCAGGTCTAGAGTATTTGTATAGTTTTCTAAAACGATCAGAAAAATGATCGTTTTTAGTTTCGTTATGGATTCTTTAAAACTAACTTACATTCCTTTTTAGGAAAAAAATTGCTAAAACTAGAAACAAAGTCTTAGTTTTATTTTTTTGGAAACGGAAAACTAAAGTTTTGAAGCAAAAAATATCATTTTTATTTAAATTTAATAAAATTTATTGTCGTTTTTATCCAAAACTATCGTTTTCATTTCACACAAAATGATCGTTTTTATTACAAAACGATCGTTCTATTTCAAACGATCGTTTTTTTAAAGTGATCATGAACTTAGTTTCATCCCTTATAAAAACGATTTTTTTTCATCGTTAACAAAACGAAACGAAGGTTTTAAAAAAGTCAAAACTGCCCATCCCTATCTAGACTCTAGAGAGGACTCAACCACTTTCCAATTGTATCAGTGTTTCAGAATTTCACCGTGTCCTACAGGTGTTAACTATATAAATAAGTACATATTTGAATCTACGGTACGTAGTTTAGCGATCTAGTTCAAATTCATTAAATTCTGTCTCAGATCTTTAAACTTTGTGTCTGATGATTGTAAGAAACAAGGCGAGGCTTGTTCTTCTCCAACTGCAAGAACGTAAGAAAAATATTGATTTACTTATCTAACTAAATTATATTTTTACTTGCTTGGGAATCCAGCTTTGTCTGGAGCTTTTCTTATAACAGTAAACCCACTCAACTTCCGAATCCAACATTTCCGTGAATCTACCGAGTTCAACTATTCTATTCATAAAGAAAATACAAGTTTTATAATCATGAAATCTTGATGATGTTAAAAAGCAACAAGTTTCACAGTATCTCGTTTATTCATTTATTATATAAAATTGGTCTGTGTACACTGCACAATTGCTGTGTTTATGTTCATTAAAATGTTTAAGTATTTATAGTCATAATTTGAGTCTAAAAGTCGTCTTCATATTTCAAAGTTTTATGGTTTAAGTTGTAGTTTAACTTATTGATTTATTTTGAATCAAGTAGTCATAGTTTGCAATATCAATATATAGTTAAGACCAATCAACCTAATTATCTATAGACCAATCAACCTAATTATCTACAGACTAATCAACCTAATTATCTACAGACCAATCAACCTAATTATCTACAGACCAATCAATCTTTTTTCAACTATTTAAGACGAATGAGTGATGAATGCTGCCAGCACCTGAACCTGGTCTGTCTCGAGGTGGACCCGGATCTCCCCGACCTTGATACAGAAGATCGTGAAGCACAAACATTTCTCTCCTCAGCAGCACGTGATCTTGCTCTGAACGGTATTCCAAATAAAATAGAAGTATTCCTGGATAATCAGGAACGAATATTTCAGTTAGGATATCAGAGGAAGAAGGACCTAAATAGAGAGTGCGCAGTCGCAAATTAAGTGCATTTATTGTAATCTTTTTTAAAGAATATAGTATAAAAGTATTTATAATAAAGTTGTAAATAATCTTGTTTTTGTAGCAGCGAAAATGCGCAAGTGACGAAAATCTTGATAAATTTCCCGAAAAGATTAAGAGTTAAAGGGACAGACCGGCTATGTACGGTAGTCGAACTGAGTATGCAGTGTTGTAGAAAACTTCTTTCGGATTCATAAGAGACATGTAAAACTTTTTAAAGATCTGAAAATCCTTAATTTTTAGCGAAAATTCGAAGTTCAAAACTCCTACTTTGAGGGTGGATGCGTTTTCAGAATTAGTTTCTTTTTAATTCTTTAATAACGAAGACGAAAAATAAAGTAAAATTATACAGATGTTTAGGAACATATTTCTCAAAAGAAATTTGCCAATAATCAATGCTAGAATCAATTATTTCGTTTTCATTATTATTTGAATTTCTTATCTTCTTTTAATTTATTCTCAGATTTCTTCAAATTCTTCAAATGTCGTCTTTTCAATGATATTCCTGAAAATCTTTTTGAATAATGAGAAACCAGAATAATGAGAAAATAGAAAATAATAATTGAACAAGATTACTTATTTTCGATGACAAGATTAATTTTTATTTTATTTTATTTTTAAGATGAAAGAAGAAAGATATTGAAACGCGGATATTTTAGGTCAAAACAGGGGCTAATGGTGAAAATAACATAATTTTGCCGAAAAGAAAGATTCAAAAATTTTACGATTTCAATTTTACAAAATTTTCGTTTGCGGCACACCACATAATAGTTACACTCCCACTACAAAATAAGTCTCTCCCTCATTTCAAAATAACCCATGCAGTACCCACATATCTCTTTTTTCGTGGATATTTTTTGAAGCTACCAGAAAATATGCAAAAATTTCATTAGAGGAATTATCCACCTTTTCATGTACAAAGGAGTTGTATTACTATTACAATTTATACCCTCACCTTTCTGTGATTTCATTTGGACATTTTCTTTATATTATAGAATATCTAGGTCTAGCATTGTCAGGAAGAAAAAGAAAAGTTAGAATTGATTCAAAATAAAATAGTTTTTTGGTTAATAATGTCTTAAAATCAATGTACTTTAAGAGCTTAATTCACAATATCTATCAATATTTATTATTTTACCCTGTGATGCTATAATTTTAATTTTGCACAAACAAATCAAATACAGATGTTATCAGCTCAAATATTTTTTACATACTTTTTCCAAAGTGTATGTTTTACTCACCTAAATCTTCTCAAATGTACAATTTACCAAACTGGAACTTCCCCAAGGTACATCATTTTAATATCAAACAAAAATGCGCAACATTAATATAATTTAAACACATCTACTATTTTTTAAAAGAAATTGTTCAATACAAATAACAGTTAGAGAATATCATACGCCTACATTTCAGAGGTTTTATCACATACCCAACTCCATCCCA